GTAACGATTGATACATTGCATAGTTTTCGATTTTTCTAAAAAATCTAAAAAATCTGCGCTGTGCAATGTATTCCATTAATTTCACAAAATATTTCATCATTATTTTTTGTTCTTAACTTTCTTATCGATTTAAAGAGATTGAAAAAACGAAATATTAATTAAACCGGTTTTCACACATAGAAATTGATTCTCACAACCTTATTTCAATACTTATAACCGGATAATTGTTACATGATTATGGGAATCTGGTTCAAGGAAGACAAGTGGAAACGCTTTAATTCTAAAAAAATATTTTAATATACAAATTGAAAAGTATACAATTCCGAAATATGTTTTATAAATTAATTTTTTTTTATATATAATAACTTCTTATATAATTTTTCTTTATATAATTTCAAAATAATACAGTTTAAAAAACATAGAGAAATTATATTATTTTTAAGATTTCTATTTGAATTTATTTTTTAATTAGTTTGATTAAAAAAATATATTATCATTACAATTATAGTTTGCATATCATTTATTAACTGTAATAGCTGCAATTTTTTAATTATTAATTATTAATGTAGAAATAACTATTTTTTTATATTTTTTATTGATAAATAAATTTGTAAATATAATAGAATTCTACAATGCTGTATTATAAAAACACTAGTGCTTTTCTATAATGCAAAGGAAAATTTGGAATATAAATAAAATTGTTGTTAAGAAAATAATACAAAATGATATTACATAAGGAATAAATAAAGTTTTTTAAAGGAATAAATAAGTTTTGAAGTTGAAGAAAATTCGAAAAATAATATCAACAGAATGATTAAACAATTTTCTAAAATTAAAATATAATATTATCTGTCTTTTTATTTTATATTATTCTATATATATGATGACAAATTTTATATTATTTATGATGACAAATTTTTACATTTTTATTATTTTAAAATAAAATAAAAAGAATATTATTTTCTATTATATTAAAAAAATTTTTTTTACATAATTTTACGTAATTTTTCTAACATTTTGCACTCTTGATTTTCTATAATAAAATTCGTGAAATATTTTTCTTCGTATTATAGGAAATCTTATACATTATTTAAATATTTATATGATAAATCTATCATTTTAAAAAAGAATAGAAAGTAGATGAATACTAATTTAAAGACAAATAAAAATTAAAAGATGCAAAAAAGATCTTCGTACAGTGAAAAATGTAATAAATGTACTGCATATATATAGTATATGAACACGATTACTTTTGTTGAATATTTTGCAAAAAAAAAATATAATTACAATTCACAATAAAAAATATTCAATGTAATAAAATGTATATAATATATATAACTTTGAATAAATGATTCTAATTGCATTGACTTTAAAACATAAAGCAGAGATGTAAAATATCCAAAATATTTGCTATATGTAATATTGAAAGAAATGATATTATATATTATTTACTAATATATACAAACATAATTATATATTATATTATATATAAAATTAAAAATTGTAACAATGTGAAATATAATAAAAAATTTTTTTTCAAATTAAAAAAAAATTAATAAATGTACACATTAGGAAGTCACTAAAATTTTGACAAATTAAATTATTATCTTTAATTGAAATTTTCTGGTAACTTTGATTCGTATATTTCAAAAAAAGAAAATTATATTTTGATACTAAAAATTAATAATATTATTCGAAAATAGAATCAGTGTATAGGATAAGTCTTCGATAAATGAATATATATCCAATGTATTAACTACATAAATTTTCAAATGTAAGGAATTATTATTGGTGGTACAATGAGATTCGATGATTTTTTTATTAAAAAATTAATCGAAAAGAAAAAATAAAATTTTTTCATTTGAGACTTAAATCAAGTTTGAGAAATTTAAAAAGAAAAATTAAAAAATATAATTAATACAATTAAATACAAATAATCTGCATATAATGTATAAAAATATTGATAAAAATAATTCTACAAATTAAAATAACAAAAAATATGAAAATAAATTTTTCTCACTTAAACTAAAAATAATTTTCAAAAAAACTGAATTTAAATATTTATCGATTATATGATTTCTTGGCTGTATATGTTCAATCTCTTTCTTGTTTGTCAAAACAAGATTTAAACAATAAAATTTTATTCTACATTTTTTTATTTTTTTCACATACAAAGTAACCAATTATCCATAATTCATTTATATCTATGAATAACAGAACAATCTATATAATATAAATATGATATATATTTATTTCATGATTTATTTCATGAAGAAAATATAGAAGTAAAATAATTCTAATCTCAAGTAATTCTATTTATATTTTTTTTATAATATGAAGAACATAAAGGAAACATAATGCAATTAATAAAACTTGTTATTTGATAAAAGTATATATATTAAAATATTAAAATTTGTATTAAATTATAAATTTGTATATATATTCTTAAAATCTTAAAAAAATCTTTTACATATCTTTCTTATGTATCGTTTTTTATATTTATCTTATTTTTGCAAATATTCAAAAATTTTTATCGCTTATCCATTAACATTTTTGTATAATATATAATTTACTATGATTAATTAATAGTGTGTTTAGTGAAATTAGGCCGAACAATCCAAAAACGTTTGCGCAGATTTTGTATGTTAATTTATAAGATGCCTCATCGAATGCAGTGCGCAGTAATTTAACAATAATCGCATTGTAAAACTATTCATGCATTCCTATGCGTGCGTACACACGTGCAATATTCACGAGAGTAGAATGTCAAAAGCATAGATACTGCGTCAATGAAGGAAATCTCCCTTATTGTACGCGAGATATGGAGAGTGACGATGATTGGGAAACAGGATTTGCAAATAAAATTGGGAAACAGTGTTAATGACCTTACATTTGCATTAGAAAAGTTTATAATCCTATAATCTGTACGATTTGAGATAATAAAGCAATATTGACTGTTTATTTTTACTATCATATTATTTTCACATTATAACTATAAATTATAACATATTACAACAAAATGGATTATTAAAAAAATACATTATGTAAAATAAAAAAAATTAAATTTCTAAAATTATTTTTTTAATTTTTTTATTTAAAATAATTATTAATTAATTATTATTTATAATTAAATAATTTATTATTTACAATAAAGATACAAAAAATTAATATATATATATATATATATAATTCAAGTATATGTATAAAACATTCATTTATATAATTTATAATATTATATAATTTAAATAATTATGTATACAATTATAAATTTAACATAATTATAATATAAATTGTACAATATAAAAATAAAGATTGTTAAAATAATAATAAAAAAATATTTGCAATTATATTTTTTTCTTTAATATTGCAATAATTATTTAATTATTGCATATTACATATTATTATATATAATAATAGAAAAGCTATATATTAATTTATTAATTATTTAAATTTTCAAAAATTGTAAAAACCGTTTCATTTATATAAAAATTATAAAATTTTTAATTGAAGGATCAATAAGCAGTTATACGCATTTATATACACTGAATACAACTGAATAAGCCGAGAAAGTCAAGAACGTGGATTCTATGAATTAACCATATTCGAAGGAGAATATCTCACGGGTCAGTTAGCCTACTTACAAGACTTAAAATTCGTCGTTATCATAACCAGTTCTGATTTATTTCGATAATATTTAGCCATCAGTAGGTAATGAAATAGGAAAGAAGATTCTTTATGATTAACGTCCAAAGCCATCATTTACCTAAGACTTGCATAATAATTGGAGACGACTATTAACTGATATGCCGAACTTATGTGTTCGATTTGCAAGCTATTGAAAGAGATTTCAAAATCCGGTCTCTGTGTCACTTTCGAACAGAGAAAGTCGTGCGATTCATTTTGTCGTTCAGAATGATTTATGGAAAACTTTCGTTAGAAATTGCTTATATTTAGAAATTGAAAAATGAGCAAAAATTAAAAATTAAATTAATAATTAATATTTTAATAGGATAGTATTAATATTATAATATTATATATATTATATTTATATTTATATTTAATATAAAATATTTTTCAACTCATAAAGACATTATTATTAATATTATTATTAATTTTAAATAATAATTTATTTTTACACTATTTAATATAATTTATCATTTTTAATGATTGAATTTCATATACAAGTATTAAGAATAAAATTCAAATTTATCTAACGCGCATGCGTTTAGTGATTATATGCCGCTCGTACAATCAGTATAAAGTTTAAACAATATTGTAAACGTAATCATATCACATTGTTATAATGGTACTAAATTATAATTCAAAATATAATTATTATAATATTTTATAAAAAATTATTCTATTCACTAAAGTCAAAGTATTTAATAAAAGTTATAACATAACCAAGTAGTAGACGGCAGCTAAGTCGTCTGCTAGAAACAGCTGACAGCTCAGCTGCATGAAAACGTGGTTTTTAAATTTTGTTTGTGACATTCTGTATGTTTATTATCATTTTAAGAATTTATATTCATATTATGAAAATAAAAATATTTACAAAATATATTTATTTATTTTTTTAATATTTGAAATTTAAATTAAGTTAAGAAACATGATTTACTATCGCATTTTACTAGACATTATATAATTATTGAAACCTATAAAATTAACTAATATTCTTTGTTTTATGCATTTTAGTATTATTATAGTATTAACTGTTTTATTTTTTATATCTATATATAAAAATTAACATAATAAATTATAAAACACTAAATATAACACTACAAGTTTTTATATGCGAAATGAATCGTAGGTTATGTTATTAGTAATAGAGGAATAACTCATAATATTTGACTGAAAGTGAATGGAATAATAAGATTTTATGCTTGTATTACAAAATATTGATACTGAGATATAAAAATAATTTTTCTTGTGTTGTGATTGTATTGATTATATATATTTTTCATAAATCATAACAGTGCCAATAAATAAAATTAACATACCTGACAATGTTGAATGAAATTATTTGTCGAATTTTCGATTATAGTTCCTGACTTAACACATGTTGAAATTTTCTTTCGTAATTGGGCGAGATGTTTAAACTGGCACAGTTTCTCTGCACGAGCACAGAACCTACTCGACCCTATACACGCCATAGCGAAAACTGTAGTGAGCCGAGTCATACGACTTGTAAAGACTTTCGAGTTCTACTAGCCCCACCGATAGTTCAAAATCACTTCCCCACTCACTTTTCCCTTTCCCGTCCCTACCTGTAAATACACCCGCTGTATACGGCATTAGTAAGAACAATACTATAAACGATAAATTAGTTTAATCACTAAATATTTTCAAAGACAATAGATTATCAGAAATATTACATTGAAAGTCATTAGCGACATCTAATTCACATATATATTATATATTTTTTTAAATATTTATTTTATTTAAATAATTATTATAATTAATATTCATAATAAGAAAAAATAATTAATAAATAATTTAAAATGGTTATGAATTAAAATATTTTAAATAATAATATTTTTTTTAATTTTTATATTAATAATCTTGATTACATTTCGTTAATAATAATTTTATATTACTTATATAAAATTTAATTTGTAAAATAATAGCTTATAAATTATTATGAAATAAAATTACATAAAAATTAAATAAATAATCATATTTCATTAATTTTTTTATAATAAATATTAAGAATTATCCTTAATGTTAACACAGATTTCGTTCTATATTATTTGCTATATTCTATGGTCTATTTTAAACATGGCGAATAATATTTTTAATAGATTATATCAAGCATTTAAAACATTTGACCAAGTAATTAATATTATTTTAGGACGTAATTTTCCACCAAGTAATGAAAAAAATTTTGTTATTATATTTAGATTTAATTATATAAAAAATTAAAAATAATTTGAAATTTAAAATTTAAAAGAATTTTTCAACGTTTCTAACCTTCTTAAAATATTACAATTTGAATTGTTTATAAATAATAAAAATTATTAATTTAAAATTATCACACATTTATATGATTTTTACATTTATTGCTTTTTATCAAATAGTATTTATATTCTATTTAGGTAATTTATACGTGATTGAATATAATTCTGTAAAACAAGTACAATCTATTAACTTTCTTGGACAATCTTTAAAAGATATATTAAATAATACAATTTTATGGGCTGTACCTAAGAAACGACGAACTATCGAAAAACGTCTTTGTCGAAGATTTGGTATCCCTGAATTACATTGGAAACCCCATGTTCCTAAAACTAATATCTTAATGTGTAGAAAATGTGGTCATGATTATGAAGCTGGTACACTTTGTGGTAAGATATACAATTTATATATTTACATAATAATATTTATTAATATTATATATAATAATTATTATTTATTAATTAAATTATATTTAAGAATTATAATTTTATTTTTATTTTTTTTAATTTGTAGGATATTGTTATGAAGTAATTAAAAAAGAAACAGAAATAATGCAACAAGCTATACAAGATTCGTTAGGATTAAAACCTGTTGAACAAGATGTTATAGTATTATATGAAGGAGAAAAAGAACAATATGAAGATAATTTTTGGAAGGTATTAATATATATTATGTATTGCTGAAAAGAAATTCCATAAAATAAAATAGAAGCAAAATATCTTCTTACTTTATTTGTTAATATAAAATATTTGATATGTTTTTATCTATAAATAGTTTTAATACATATCTATTTTTATGTATCAACAGAAATTTCTTCCAAAAAAAAATTTTTTTCAGCAATGTACAGTAATAATATACATAAAATAGAATATTATATATAATATATAATATATAATTTTTACAAAATTTATAATTATACTTCCACACAGAAACAAAGGATTGTAGAATTACGTAAGAAAAGACCTGATTGGTTTAGTCCAAATTTACTTCAACCAACAACAAAAGAACAATTTGATTCGGAGAAAGAAAAACTTGAACTTGAATCTTCAAAAAATAATAAGAATAACTAAGAATAATTAAATAATTTATAATTAATTATATTAGTAATTAAATATATTAATAAACTTTGTTTAAATTAAATAAATTTAAATAATGTAAAAAAGAGTTAATTTTTTTTTATAATAGAATTCCATTTATTAAAATGAAAATTTTATCTCATCAACGATATCTCATTAAACTAGATCTTCTATTATCTAATATTAAACGTTACTTTAATTATACGGATATCTTTTACGAACGATTGAATTTATTTATATTTTACTAAATTTGAATTGCGATTATTTGAAAGAAAAGTTAAAAATAATAAAGATAAATAATAGATTCATATCAGATTCATATAAATGGAATTCTATGCTGTAAACTTTTAGAAACTAATGAAACTCCATTTATATGGACAAAATCTTATATAATGTTTGATCATCTAAATTCTATGTTCTTAAGTAGAATTTCTTTCTTCTTCTTCTTCTATTACTTCAATTATTATTGAATGTCACTCTATTTATATGAGCATTTTTACAATATATAATTAAAATATATATAATTCAAAATCAATATATAATTAAAAGTTTAAATAATATATATAATGCAAAATTTATTTCATTAAATATTAGATTATTATATTTACAAAATTATTTCTAAATTTATAATATTTAAAATATATAATTCTGTATTTTAGAAAAATATTTTGTGACATTCTTTCATATGAATTCCTATTAATTGGACAAAATTATAAAACAATTATAATTGGAATCTTATTTAAAAATGTTATATGCTGATTATTTGTTTATCTCAAGTTCATATAAATGAAGTACTAGAATATTTATAAATGTTATAATTATAAATATTTTTATATTATTCTCATATAATTTCTTATTATAACTTTTTCTTTTATTTTTGTAATTGATCAACATAAAAATAAGTAATATTGTTAACAATTATATTATTTGCTATTTTTGTATTGAATCATTCTTATATATGATATTTGTTAAACTTTCAACAGTTTATAAAATTCAATAATGAAAAACATTTTCAATTCTATTAAGATTAATACACTTTTCATAATAATACATAATATTTACATTTATCTTAGTTTTAAAATAACATAATGATATATAAAATTTTAGAAAATCAAAATGCTGTTTCTTCATAATCTCTAATTTTCATTAATGAAGTATTTCAAAACCATCTACAGATAAATCTTTATTAAAATGACTTAAAACATGTTCATGGAAGTCTGCAAATGTAGTAGTTTTTCCATAAAACATTCCACACAATGGGCAAATTTTATTGTCTTGGTCTGTATTATCTGCTGACTTGGAACATTTTTCTAAAGATAGACTTGAAGTTTGGAGACTGGTTTGAGTTGCATTATGTTCTTTAATATTTTCATTAAAATTAAACTGAGTACCTGCTTGACACATTTTTTTATTTGCATTTGTACGACAATTATTACACATTAATCCTGTAATTATATTTAAAATTAATTTTTTAAAATAATTTTTTTTAATGTTACTTATTTACCTTCTTTCTTTTTTTTGAAATTTTGCATTACTCTTTTTAATTTTATTTGTTGTGCTAATAAACTGTTTTTCATCTGTGACAATCTAATATCATGTTGTTTTAATAATTCTAAATCTGTATCTGAATCCTCTGGATAAGTAAAACCAATATTTCGTAAATCTAATTCAGTGTTATTTTGCATTTCAACCATCTAGATAAATAATTATAATAATAAATATAATAATAAAATAGGAATAATTAAAATATATAAAATTTAATTCATTTTATTATTTTTTAAAATTACCTCTGCATATTGCTGTTCAAGATCTGATTTTTCTAACATAATACTATTTATAAGTCTAAGTGATATTTCCTCTAAGCTTTGTTCTTTCTCACCTATGTTGAAATTAGAAACAGAACATTACATAATTTAATACATAAAATTTAATTGAAATTTAAAATAAATAAATTATATTTAATAACAAACCATTGTTTGTAACTAATGTACATTGCTGATTGTTATCTTCTTTAGTAGAACTAAAAATATCTCGAAAACTATAAGAGACGATATCTGATGCTTGTACTGGAGAATGTTGTTTAAGCGTATCAGAGATTTTTGTTAATTGACTTCCTAGACATTTATTAGTTTTTGTTAATTTACTTAACCTGTTCCATAACTGTCGATTTTCTGCTGCTACCATAAAAACTTGATGAGTAAGTTGAGATTTTTGTTTTTTTAGTTCTTCTATTTTTTCCTATGAATTAATATATATTAAAATATAAAATATATTTATATATCATCATATATATTATGCAAACCTTTAAACTTTGCACAATAGTTTTTTCATTATTATCATTAATTTTTGTAATCATTGCAGATTCATCTTTTCCACATTCAAGTCTTAAACACATATTCTCTTCTTCAACAGTTGCTAATCTTGTTTCTAATTGTTGACAACGTTCATTCATAGTTTTAAATGCAACTAATAAGGCATAATAAGAACTACATTTTTCATTATCTGTATTTTCCAATTGTTCCATGTCATTCATGTCGTAGTAATAAAATTAGCAAAAGTGAAAATGCAATTTCACAATCAGAAAAATTTTTCTAATAGTAGGAAATACATAAACAAAATAAATTCTTCTTAAAAAGTTACATTTTTAAAAAAATAAACATTCTATATGAATAAAAAATAAATTAATAAATAATAATTAGGTTAATAAAAATGTCACAATAAAATTATTAAATTAGGTTAAACTGTCATACATTTTAATATTTTGAAATTATTATAAAATATGATTTGTAATTACACTCAGATTTTCACATAAATAAGACATAAGATAAATAACTTAATGTCTATTCACTATCACTTAATATAAAATTGTGTCACATAATCCAAAAAAAGCCCCCATTATCATTCTTGTGTCATTTCCAATGTTATCGATTTAGCATACAATAAGATTACAATATTAATAGTGGATGAAAAGAAAAACAAATGTAAGTATGAAATTATAAATAATATAAAGTTTTTTATAATAATATAAATAAGGTAGTATTACAAACGAATTATAGAATAACTGTGATGCATCTTTATAGAAATTTAATCATATATTTTTAATGTTTATTAACCTCCGATATTTTGATTTAGTTCTAAGAATTCTTATATTACCAACTATATAATAAAATAAATACCAACATAAATTAAACAGAAAAATGATCTATTATCATCTAATTCGATGATCCAATTAAAGTTCCTATTAAAAACGGTCATTATTCTCTAATGCTAAATAATACATAAAAATTATGCATTTATTCCAAATTGTTTTTTACGATCTTTCAAAGTATAATTAATTCGGACATATTATCTTATACAGATCGCTTTATAATGATATATATAAAAACATTATTTTTATTTTGAAAAAGAGAAAAGAAAAAATGAGAAATATTATAAAGCAATTTTATTGAAAAAATTAAATTTTAATATTACAATTCATTAGTAATGAAAGCTTTCAATTTTAAAAATGAAATGGTGTTAACTATATATACAATATTTAAAAAACTGTATAAGTCATTTTTTATCGACGCGCCGTTCATTTTGCGTAGAATTTTTTTTAACTATTATATCTTTATATTATATATCCTTTTTTTAATATTCAACAACCATATTTCTTACTCTTTTAATTTTTTTTATATTTTTTAGTATTCATAAGAAACAAGACGAAAAATACAGAATTAAAGGAAATCTATGCTAACATCCTGGAATAGATTTAATCAGACACACATCAAATGATAACAATGTTGTTAACAATGTTATTCTGCGAAACTATAAGAATAAAAGAGCCAAATTCAAAGAGCTCGAATGTAAAAGCAAAACAAATCATGTATTACGATGATCGTAAATAATGCGTGGATAAAAAATTAATAAAAATATGATTACGCCTCATACTTATATTTATGCAATAATTGTAATGTTGTTAGTAACAGATAATATTATTATTTGTACCTTATATATATAGTATGAAAAACTATAGACATAAAAAAAAATTATAATAGTATTAATAGTTAATAGTATTAAAATTAAATTTTATGAGAAAATTATATTAAAATAAAAATTATATTAAAATAAAATTATATTGAAATATTAATAAATATTTCAAATCATTTTAAATTCATATTATGAATATATATATAGTGACAAATTCGAATCACTTTCGAATGATCCCAAAATTTTGAAAATTTTTATTGTTTTGGAAATGAATATTTTTATTATTTCTATTTTAATTATGAAATAAGATTATAAATATTTTAACTTGCTATACAAATTTAAATTCAATTTTTTTAATTCATATTTAAATTTAATTAATTTTATATATACATATATATAATATATATTGAAATTTTTTTCAATCTATTGAGATTAAGTAAATTTGTGTTAAATTCTTTTTTATTTTTCTAATTTTTTAGACTTACTTAATTTTATGTTAATTTATGTTAATTATATTAATTTTAATAATTTATTCTTATTGTATTCTATATAGTCTTCTTACGATGAAATTTAATTGATTATTCTTAAAAAAATATTAACATTAAAATAGAAATCAAACCCATCAAAACGACGGATTTCATATTTTTTATATTATTAACAATATGAAAATGATAAAATTAATATTGTAATTTACTGAAAAATTTAATTACATATACTTCATTATTTTCATGACATTATTTTAATTATAATCATTTATATGTAAAATGAATATTTAGAAAGTACCATAAGTCGGTAATTCTAATGTTAATCTTTTTTTAAAGAGAATATTAAGTTAAGAATTGTGTAAAAATTGAATTTGAATATTTTTTTTTAAATTTATATTAAATTTTATATTAAATATTGTAGAAAGTAAAAATTTGAAAGAATTATTATATTATATATATACATTATATTATTTATGAAAAAAAAATTTTAATTGATCTTAATGATTACAAACATTTTATATATATTAAATATATATTATTATTTAGTAACAAAAGAAAATATTTTTATATTATATAATTTTATATAATTTTATATTATTATACTTATATTATATAATTTTGTATTAAATTTAAATTATAGTTTTTTAAATTTTTTCTTTTTAAGATGTAATAGAAAATATAATGGAATTTGAAGAATATTAAAATTTCTTGCATGAAATTTCAGAATATAAAATGTCATATCTTATAAGATAATTCTACATATTCTTATAAGATAATTCTACATATCTTGTCTATGTTCGTATCATTGTTTCTGACTAAGTAATAATACAAACTTCCTAAATATTTTGTTTCCGATTTCATTTTGTGAATCCGTTCCGGATTCATTCGTCAACATAATATTATAGACGAATCTCATTTGTGATGATATATCATCATTATAGATGTCGTACCTTACACAGTACTATTTGAATCTAACTGAAAAGCGCGAAAACATATAATCTTGTAGTTCTGTCTTTCGGAATAATTTGTATTTAAACTTATTAATTTTTAGTAAAAAATCAAAATCATGACAAGTTTATTAGATCTTTGTGAACAATACTTCGGTGCTCGTGATTTTTATGAAGTTTTAAAAATTCCAAGAACTGCTAATGACAAACAAGGTGTGTACACATAACCTATTTGATACAAACTTATTTTTAAATAAAACATATTTGTTAAATAAAAACTATTATTATATTTAAATTTCAAATAAAAATTGTTTTTAACATTTTTTTTAGTAAAAAAAGCATATCATCAATTATCTTTGCTCGTACATCCTGATCGAGTTGAGGAAGATATCAAAGCAGAAGCAACAGAAAAATTTAAAGTTCTGGGACGAATTCATTCTATTCTTAGTGATAATGAAAAACGTAAAATTTATGATCAATCTGGTCAATATGATGAAGAAAGCGAAGAAATTATGATGAGAAATTGGGCTGATTATTGGAAATCTCTATTCAAGAAAATTTCAGTAGAAGATATCAACAACTATGAAAAAAATTATAAAGGATCTGATATAGAAATTAATGATTTAAAGCGTGCTTACATGGATAGTATGTAAATTTAATATAATAAGTATATATATATATAAAATATATTAATTGAATTAATAAATTTAATTTATTAAACTAATAAATTTTTATTGATTAGGCAAGGGAGATATGGATTATATTTTAGAAACTGTTCCTTTCACTAACTGTGATGATGAACCAAGGTTACACAGTATTATTCAAGGACTCATAGAGAAAGGTGAAGTACCAGAATACAAAGCATTTACACAAGAAAATGATAAGAAAAAACAACGTAGAAAACGTAAGGTAAGTATTAAGAAAAAAAGCATTAAAATAATATATCAAAAATTTATGTTTATATATTTTCAAGATTTTAATATTTTCAATATTTATATTTTATGTGTATAATGTTAACAATTTCTAATATTTTTAATATTTCGATTAAGTTAAATTTGATAATTATATTATTTAAAAAAATTAAATGAGAATTTAAAAAGTTATATAAATAATTGTTTTACTCTTAATCAGATATTTTTATAAAATACATAATAAATATAATCTTATCAATGTCAAAAGTATTGAAAAAAAGATTTACGTTCAAGTAGGAACGCGCTCGTAAATTTAAACATGATACCCCACTCCTTCAATTATACTATAGATCATCTTAGATCTCATGAACAAGTGAGCAGCATGCTATTTTCAAACTTTTCTATTTTTGTCAGTACATAGTACTGCATCATGATTGGAAGTAGTAGTAGGAGGTGGACGAATAGTATGACGGGAGGGGGAATACTAGTAAATAAGTAAAGAAGGAACGCAAGAGAGGATTCAGTCTATAGAACAATTAGATTCTAGTTTATCGCTAAATATTGCAGAATTTTCGATTAAAATCCCTATTACGATGATTATGTGAATTGTTCAAACTTGTGAATGACAAATAATGTTATGTATTTTATGCTATACAAAACTGTGATTTATCTTAAGAATTTTTTAGACAATTAATAAAAATGGGTGCTATTGTTAAACTGTTATTGTGCGCTGTATTATGTGCAAGTGTACAGGGAGTATGCAGACGTATGAAGAACGAAGATATGATCGAATATTCTTGCATGGGTGGTCACCTTTCTGATTTAGATAATCTTCCGATATCGACAGGAAAAATTCGAATTTCCAACATGCCTATTCGTCGAATAACTGCAAATACATTTTCAAGATTCGGTTTGGATCTTTGGGTCCTAGGTTGTTCCTATTGTGGTATAATAGACATCGAACCAGGAGCTTTTCAACGGCTAAGTAATCTTCAACAATTAAGTTTAAACAATAATCACTTGACAACTGTAAAAGAATCCTGGTTCAAAGGTTTGAATTATTTGACATATTTGGATTTGAATTACAATAATATAGAATCTATCGAGGATGGTGTATTTTTAAATTTACCCAGTCTTGTTGAATTAAGACTATCTGGTAATCGTTTAGAATGTCTAAATCTTGTAGCTATGTCGCAGTTGAAAGATTTAAAAAGAATATTTATCAGTGAAAATTCCGAGCTTAAATGTCCAAATGCTATCAGTATTTTTCTTGAGAATCGTGGAATAACTTTTCAAAAAGATCCAGAATGGAGCAGATTACCAAACGATTTAATTCCGGTAACAATCCCACTTGATTATAATAAAATAACAACTATAAAAATACCGATAGAACCCTATTTTGGCTATCATCGTAAAAAATTAGATCCAACAACGACAATACCAACATCGACTATGACATCGACATTACAATATATTACACCAAAATTCCAGACAACTGAAGAAGTAATTTATCGTCCAAACTTGAAAACAACTTTCAAATCATCCATGATTCGCTATGAAGACAAAGTAAAAATTACACAAAGTCCGTCATATGAGTACACAAGAGCACCATATATTTCACAAAAAAATTTTCCACCAATCGAATCTGCAACATATTTATCATCGTCGCGTGAGATGACGCAAGATAATAGCCAAGATACAACGACCTTCAGATCTTGGCCAACTTTCTCGGAATCTACTAGTGCCAGAATCGAATATCCCATTTATCCACCCCATAAAAACGAGGACAAATATTACACAAAACAACCAGATTATTCAAGTCCAATAGACTCATTTTCTTTGGCACCTAATCAAGATGATCATCATCAAATGTCTTCTGTAGAGCTTAATATGAAACAAACTATGACTCCTTATAGAACTGATTCGTTAGAAAAGAATATTATTCCATCGAATGTGCAATATCCACCCAGTATTGAAAACAGATTATCATCGATAGATTCTTCAGACACAATTCGTACTACACAATCTATATTTTCATTACCAGAAATAGTTCAATCTGCTCATCCAGATGATATACATTCAAATATCCTACCCATTATTGAAAACGTGACACAATCAATGGATTTTTCGAATTCAACTCGCATTATACAATCTATACCTTATTCACCACCATCAATGGTTCATCCTGCTCAGTCAGATAATATATATCAACCACCTTATTATGAATCCACGATTACTGTTCATTCACCGCCATTGATGGATAATAAATCACAGCAGAAGGAAGTAAATTCGGAAATTGTGCCAATTGAAACAACCACCGATAAACCACTGCCCGAATGTCCAACAAGGAATTTATCGTCATCAAATCAGAGCTCGATTAGAATGATCATTGTTTCTGTTCTTCTCATGATTACAAGTCATATCCTTGTGGAGAGATTTAACTAAATACGGATTTTAATTAAAAGTTTCATTTAACTTAATTGTTTCATCTGTATAATTCACTAAATTTATATCGACGAAATATTCAAATAAACATGTGTGATATATCTGTGTTAAGCATCGGATTAATAGAATTAAATGAAATGACATTTGTATTGAATCGTTTAATTAAAAATATTTGAATATACGAAGTGCGGCTATTTTTTTCCAATTATTGGACCAAATTTGAGAAACTGTCGCGATACGTTATCAGAAGAACTAACTTAAACGATTGATTCTTCAGAAGCACTGTGGAGCCTGCAAAATTCATAGCGTACGTACATATTTTAATTTCATATTTTATGCTCATTGATATGTCTTAAGCCAAATGCTGATAATAATATTAGAAATGATTATATAGCATTATAATTTTATGTAATTCTTAACTTTTTGAAAGATATTACAAATATTTCGTAATATTATGCATAATTAATATAATGTCAAATATTTCAACTTTTTAATTAAAATTTATAATTATAACTTATAATATCTAATTATTTTTTATTTTTAGTGGAAAATTAAAATTCCATTAGAAAGTTTTTATTATATTATTATATTTCGATTTTATTATAATAGTTAATGATTAAATATAAAAGAAAAAATAATCGATAAAATCAAATATAAAATTTATACAAAAACATTTATATTAAAAATTAGAATGAAAGAAAAAAATTAAAATTATGATTATTTTTTAATAATGAAACAAATTTGTTTTCAATCTTCCAGATTTGGTTGCAAAAAATAGTTTGTGTGAAATTAATTATTGATATGCTGTAGGATTTTGAAATTTTTACTTTTTCTTAATTTTTCTTAATATATTTCTATTTTAATAATAATTTTATTTTTCATTGATTTTTGAATTAATAATATGAATTTATTGATATTTACAATAAATATATAAAAAAATGTTCATATGTAATATAAATAAATAAATTAAAAATATTTCTAAAATGATAATTATTCCCAATACAATTTAAAAATTTTATTTTTGTTTATTTAAAGCATTATTTTTTGAAAAAATTTATACTGTATATTATTGTAAATTATTGAAAAATAATTTTTATATAAATTATAATAATTAATTTAAATATAAAATAAATAAAAATAATTTTTAAATGGCATCATGATCAAATTCAGATTTTCACAATATAAATGTTATTATGAATAGTAATTTTTATTTAATCTTTGTTTGAAGAAGTTAAAAAATATAAAATAAAAAAAATATATTTTTTTCAACTTCAATATAATAAAATTTGCTATCATTAAAAAAGATTAAAAATATATATTTTTTTTTCATTCTTTTTAAAGTAACAACGAAAATAGAAATAAATTCTTCAAAACCAAGAAGTTCGAATTTTTTAATACATATTTTTCTTTTATACATATTTAAAATTTTTTATTTTTGAGATTAAAATTTTCGAAACCAAAATAAATAATAAGTAATATTTTAAAAGTAATATTTAAATAATAATAATTCAATTTGTGTTTAAATTTAAAAAATTTTTTTTTAATAAGCAAATATTTATTAATATCTATTACAGTAGTTATAATTTTTTTATGAGTCAAAAAAATGATCATCGTATTATTATTAATTTATTATGTGAATCTAAAAAATTTTAAAAATCAAAATTAAGATTTTATTTTTTGACAAAATTTTCTTAAAAAAAAAAATGATAAAAAAAACAAAGCATACATTTTGGATTTCAAAATTTTAGAAAGTTTTGAGACGTAAAATTTTAAATTCAAATTTTGCTTATTTAAAAAATTCAAAATCAATTTCTATTCATTTTTAAAAAATATATATTTTTAATTTCATTTCTTTCGTAAAATTAGAAAAAGGAATGAAATAATAAAAATTCGTTTTTTGATTATTATTTAATTATTAATTTTATTTAATAAAAAACATAATTATTCTAAAATATAAAAAAAATATTAAATTTTAAATTAAATTAATATTAAAAAATAATTAATAAAAAATAAATTATATCTGAGAATAAACTATCTAAAATCATTTGTACATATGTTTCAAATATTTATTAAAATATGATTATAAAATATTATTGTTTCAAATAATTATTAAAATATATTTATTTCAATATGAACACTATAGTATACTATATATAAAACATATTATTTATAAAATATTATATATATATATATATTTATAAAATATATAAAATACTTAGAAATCATAAAAATTCTTAAATTCACTTTAAGAAAAACTTCTTTAATTTACGAGATTATTGGAATGGTATTTAACATAATTTTATATATGTTTAATCACTATCAGGTTGTCGCTTATTATCATTTAAATTTATATTTTAATAAAATTATATTTTTATTGTTTAGTTTTTTATCTTGTTAGCAATTTTTAATTTTTTCTTATCTTATATGGAATTAATTATATTAAAATTCTATGGTATCTAAAAATATTATATTTTTATTAATGTGGAAGAAAGATTGATTTACAAAAAAATATTTTTTTCTTTCTAAAGTGAAAATACAAATTTTTATCATTATATATTAAATAATATTATATAATATTTAATGATATAAAATAATTTTGTTTGAAGAAGTATTAAAGTTTTTTTTGAAAAATATTTTTGAATACTTTTTATCTATAATACTTTACGAATAAAAAAAAATAATTCAATATTTTTTTAAATATATATAAAAAAATTTTTTATATTTTTCATTATGAATATAAAAAAACAATTATTATTATTTTTTTCTAATTTGAAATCTTTAATCCGTATATTTTTCGTAGTATAACTAATGAAAATAATTGTTCTATAATTATTTGTGTTTTATGTGTTATATATGATTTTTTATTATTATATAAGAAATTATTAATATTGATGATTTAAATTTCACTAATATTTTAATATTAGAACTCAACTAAATTTAAAAAAAAAGTTATTTTTTGTTTTTGTTATTAAAAACTTCGTTTAAAATCAATTTTCAACTTATGATATGACTTTTTTGGTATTACTAGTAATGATCTGATCAATTTGATATATTTTACGAGACATCTGTTTCATTTATTTAATTATATTTTATCTATTATTTGAATAAAAAAAATATTTGAATAAAAAATATAAAATAATTATTTTGTTAGCATTAGAAATAAATATTATAGCTTGTTATTTTCTAAGATATATTATTTGTAATAGTATTTTTATTAAAATATATGAAATAATATCGAATAATATTAAGAATTTTAATATTAAAAATATTAATATATTAATGTAAAAACAATATTCGATAAAAAAATATATAAGAGTTTAAGTAAATTTTCTCATTACAATTTAAAAATTGATACAGAATAAAATAGTTATGAAAATACAAGTCATGTTTTTTCCTCACATTGATTGCGTATTGAATTATGAACAGATACTACGTGCATAAAATATTTAATTGAATTTAGTAGGAAAAGTCATAGTCTCTCTTAAATGCATGGCGTCACTTTGACATCATGTCATCAGTTGAAAATCAATTATGAATAAAATTATATTGAGATAGATATTTAATATTTATTTATTTTTATTATATGAATTGAATTATAATTTATATTATTATTTATATTATTAATAATGTATACTTGCATTTATTTATAATACATTTAAATATATATGATTGATATACGTGATTCGTAGTTCTGGATTAACTTGAAAGAGAAAATCTAAGTCCATCTAATGGACTGATAATGATGATGAAGTTACGAGATATGTTTTAAAATATCATTTGTTCATAAATAAATCCTGGTCCATGGTTCATAAAAGTTTGCTAAAAAACAGATAATTGCATATCATACTTAATAAAATTATTTATTGCAGAACTCATCATAAATTATTGATATACGATAATAAATATGAATCTAATTAAAAAAGTCAGATAATTAAAGAATATTAAATATAATTAATATTATATTTAATATTATATATAATATTATATATAATATTATATATATTATATATTTATAATTAAAGAATTAAATTTAATATTTCAACAATATTTTATTAAATTAATTTTAATAAAATAATTTTATATATATGTGATTTTTTTTCCTATAATAAAATATTTTATTAACTTTTTATATCAAAAATATATTTTTATATAATTATAAATAGTTTTTTAACTGTAACAAAAAATAATTATATAAAAAGTGTTAAGAAATATTATTCTAGTGACATGATCATTTGTATGTTTTGAGCATAATTAATTCGATGGAAATTGTACTATTTTATTATATTCTAATAGATTATTAACTAATTATCACTTAAATGTTATGTAATAATATAATATATAAAATATTGTCGTATTATCCAAACTTAAAATATGAATTTAGAATTTCAAAAACAATATATATATATATATATATATATATTTTTTTTTTTTGCTTTTTCTTTAAAAATTATATTCATTCAAGAAATATTAATCTTTAAAGATATAAGAAAAATATAATAAGTAATATGGTATTAATTTAGAGTTTCATCTCTAATCTTATTGTTTCACAAATAAAAATATAATTTTTAAATATCTTGTTTAAAATAGTAATTTTCAATCCATATTATAATACGCAAAACAAGCATTACATTTATCGATTTAACATCGAATTGACAATTGATCAAATTGCTCAAATTTGAGAAATTAATGATGGCTTATGTAAAAAATATATGTTCCGATTTAAAAATTTGAAGTTAACTTCTGAAAAATTTTTCATTGTCATTATAAAGTCAAATACATAATAACACAAATTATCCCGTTTAGTATTACAATTTTTTTCGAAACATTTTTTTTATATTTCTTATATTGAGATATTTATTTGGAGAAACTAAAATGAGACATCTTGTATAATTATCGCATAGATTAACTAATATGAAGTTGCAAAAAAATCTTATTATATATTCTTCGACATCAAATCTTAAGCGTTTTTTAACTAGTTCCGCAAGTTCTAGAATGCATAGCGAAGACGTGCATTTGTTTTCCGATGAGGAATACCAAATATGATTTCCGCAGTAGCGCGATGCTGAATATCAATTGAAACAGTAACAAGAGACGAGGGCCAATGCAATATATCCGGTGTGCTAATGAAATAATTACTAATATCATTGGACTAATATCAATGCCAAGCGTTATGTAACGACCTTGACCGATGCATTCCATCGAGATGTACTGCGTTTTGTGTTTTACCATGTGATATTTAATCTTTTTCCATCCATTCATTCATGTGATAATTTTATAGAAGAAATTTCTCGCGTGTTCTTAGACATT